AGGGACACATTGTAACCCTATCCTCTTGGGTTTGGGTTACATTATTGTATCTAGGGTTCCTCCACAGAAAACCATACACTCGCGTTGTAACCCTATCCTGCGTTTGGGTTACATTATTGTATCTAATGTAATAACCTAACATGCGGCAGTTAATGAACTCAGGCTAGAGTACTATAGCTACTACTAGAGCTATACTAGAGCTATACTAGAGCTATGTCTCGGCATGCAATTGATGCATCTGAGCGGGCGCTAGCCTACGGCTACAGTGTAGTCTACGGTGAAAACACAGATACACTTCGTCGTGACGGCAACCTACATCCGACACGGATTTATCTTCGCTTCCACGAAAGTGGAGTCCATCTGTCTTAAGGTCACCACCTGTAGCGTTTATCTCCCCCTCAGACATATCTCCGAGAAATCTTACGCTCAACGAAACAGCGGAGACATTGGCCGTTCACTTGTTTACAAAAATCGGTGTTGACGAACGTGGCGCTTGGTGTCACGATTATTTCATATTTGTCCCAACAGACGGCGCTGGCGTTCTTACCATCAACCCTGCCCATAGATATCATCAAGAGTGCATAATAGAGATTAGATCAATATTAGATCAATAGCATTATCAAAGATCAAAGATTAGATCAATAGCATAATAGAGATATCATCAAGAGTGCATCTCTATTATGCACTCTTGATATCATATAACAACTTATATGATATCTATGTTGGTATATGATATCTATGATCAACCCCCTTCTCGCCCGTGAAAGGGAGGGAGCACTCTCATCAGAGAGGCAGGCGCGCAAATCCGCGCAAACACGAGTAGCGAGCACGCGAAGGGGGGGTCTGGGGGGCTCTCTCTAAAAAATCTTTTGAAATTAGACCCCTTCAGATGCGTTTTCTGCGCGAGCAGGTGGGGGGGGGGTCGCGGACCCCCTGACCCCACTGTACACGCCCCTGCAGACACACACACAGCATCACACACACACACACACACAGCACACACAGCACACACACCACACACACACAGCCACACACACCACACGCACATACACACCATCACAGCATTTGGTTTGTGATAAGATTACGAAAAGGGTGTCCGACATGCAGTCATAGAATCAAGAAAACAAAAAAGCAGAAACGCAATCATTTGTGTTTGAGGCTGATCACAAAATAAATTGGTCCGTTATTATTGTTGGTCCAGTCATTATCATATATGCGTGTATATATATCATCAATTTGCATATGAAAATTGCATTATTAAACCGATGGTCAGTTACTCAGTGTCTCTTTGCTTGAATATAGCTCGTGTTCCCAGCTTAATCGTTGAATCAGTGTCTAATGTGAGTGATATCTCGCTAAAACGTTTCATAAACCGAGCTACTTGTCTTTCTTGATGATTTCTGCCATAAGAATATTTAATATAAGAAAAAAACGTGTTTAAAAAAGAAACGGTACTAAATTTATCAAGACACATTTTTCTCAAGTTGTACATGATCATTATTATGCTCTCAAATGCACTTAAATGAAATAAAAACAGGCAAAAAAAGGAAAGAAGCCAATCGTTGACGCACTATCACACACAATACTAGACAGAGGGCACTCACGGAGAGTGCATACCTCCCGCGAGCATGTAACATGTATGTGCTGCGCTGGTGCGGCTGCTGACTGACTCGCCTGCTGCTGCCTCGTCGCTCACTGGTGGCTGCGTGCTTGGACTCGCCAAATTCGCTGACTGCGACGCGCTATCGATCGCGCCGCCCGCTTGCTGACTCTAGTTTCAGTTTTAGTTGCAGTTTCTAGTAGTTCTAGCTTGTAGTAGTAGAATCGCTGAAATATTGATTGTTGCGCGCAAGCGAGCGAGCTGGTGCTGAATCGATCGCTGTTGGCTCGCTGCTGGCTACACACACACACGAACACACACACGAACACATCACACGAGAGGCATCACATTACCTCCCTGGCAACTCCGTTGCGCGAGGTAAAAAAAGGTTCTCACTTCACAAACACACACACCACACACACACACACACACACACACACACACACACACACACACACAACACACACACACTTACACACAAAATCATGGGATTCAAAATCGTGGGGGGGGACATTTGATATAAATGTCCCCTTCTGAAAATTCGTGGGGGGGACATGTTCCCCTGTCACCCCTGGATTTGCGCCCCTGCAGAGAGGCAATACGGAGAGAGATCTATGGAGTTGGGTACACCATATATGCGGCTGCGGTATATCATGTAATCAGGAGTGGATAATAGAGAGGAGTATGACAGGCTCGAAACACAAGAAATTCAACATTTCCATGCCCATATTTACCTATGATTGATTATGTGAAATCCAATAAAATCCAACTTGTCATCACACTTTACTATGTATCGATACTTCTTCTTATTATGTAGTTATAGCTTCGAACGTCAGACGTGGTTTCACTCATAAATACCGCTAAGAGTCTATCATTCGATCCTGTAAACATGGATTTCACATAATCATCATAGGTAAATATGAGCATGGAAATGTTGAATTTCTTGTGTTTCGAGCCTGTCATACTCGTCTTTATTATCCACTCCTGATGTAATCAAGGAAAGATGAATAATACATAAACCCCGTTTATATGATATTGTCTTTTCGTCACGTGTGGACGTGGTCGTATATATACAATTATGCAGCCTCCGTATATTGTGGAGCCTATGTATGATTCTCCCCCCCCTCTCTCTCTCTCTCTTATCTCTCTCTCTCTCTTCTGCTCTTTTCTCTCTCTCTTGTCTCTCTCTCTCTCTCCCTCCTCTCTCTCTCTCCTCTCTCTCTCTCTCGC